TGCTAAAAAAACACAAATGTTATTTATGTCAATCGGAGGGTGCATTAACCTGAAGACACATTCACCTTAGGAAGTGGACCATTTTGTTCTGTCACTAAGGACAGAAATGTATTAGTGATAGAGAGGAGAGGTAAAGTTGTATAAGCCCTAGACATTAACCAGGTTCAGGTAACTTCTCAGAAGATATGACGGATAAAAGGTTTTGCATACTTTTTAAAGCTTTCTGATTAGTATTGCTGGATATCATTTTCCTGTATTTTCTTGTTCTAAAGAAAGTAATTCTGAGACAAACCTTAGAATTTTAAAAGCAGTGAAGTATATTGTTGAATATGTTGGATAATACAAACTTTTTAGAGTCTTTCTATAAAATTTGGTTCAGTGACTCAATTTTAGCACTAACAAATTTTTTTTTCCCTCATATTTTTCACACAGGAGAAATCAACCAGCAAAGAAAAGTTCAAGGCACCAGCAAGAGCTTTACCACAGCTGTCTATGGTAACTTAGCCAAATATATTCTCATTGAATTTTTGTGCCTATTGAAAATGTTTATTTTCTAGCTTGAAAATAAGTAAGCAAATTTCTGCTCCATTTGATTCTCTTCTGACGGAAAAATTCTATGAGGTGTGCATATTAGGACAAGTAACTATCTTAGTAAAGAAGCTGTAAGCTATAGTTATCTCTATAGTAGAATATTTCAGTATTCTGAGTGAACAACTTGCCAGGATGGATTAGCAGAAGGAATGTCAGTGTTGGAATAAAGAAACAAGGGCTTGGGGTCAAGGTTTGCCGCTAACGGCTCTGTGCCCTTTGGGGAGTCACTTAACTCCTGAGCCTCAGTTTCTAAGTGTAAAAAGGGGTTAGTTGATGATCTTCAAGGAGATGGCTCTTCCAGCACAATAATGCCACGCTACAAAAGATTTCTTAGATCTTGGAGTCTTTTTTCATTATTTTGACTATAAATTTTCATTGTCTTGTGGAAGAGGCAGTTAATAGACATTTTCAGTTGACAAAGTGCTGTACACGTTAGATTTTAATGTAATAAAATTTATTATCTAGTAATTATGTGGAGTCTAATGCCACCAAGTTACACTCTTGTGAGTCCTGAAAGTTAGGTTGAAGGGGAAGATCAATGCAAAATATTATTATTATAGACAGAGGTGTTGCTTTGTTGCCCAGGCTGGAGTGCAGTGGTACGATCTTGGCTCACTGCAACCTCCACCTCCCAGGTTCAAGCGATTCTCCTACCTCAGACTCCTGAGTAGCTGGGATTATAGGCCCTAGCCACCATGCCTGGCTAATTTCTGTATTTTTAGCAGAGACAGAGTTTCACCATGTTGGTCAGGCTGGTCTCAAACTCCTGACCTTGTGATTCGCCCGCCTCGGCCTCCCAAAGTGCTGAGATTATAGGCGTGAGCCACCGCACCTGGCCTATTATTTTTTAAAAACTGATAAAATATACATAACATAAAATGTACTATTTTAACCATTTTTAGGTATTCAGTGATATTTAGTACATTCACACTGTTGTATAATCATTACTACTACCCATCTCCAGAACTCTTTTTATCTAACGAAACAGAAACTCTGTCCATTAAACAATAACTCCCCACTTTCCCCTCCCTCAGCCCCTGGTAAACCACCATCATACTTCTTGCCTCTATGTATTTGACTACTCTAGGTATTTCATATAAGGGGAATCATACAATATGTGTCCATTTATGTCTGGCTTATTTCACTTAGCATAATGTCTTCAATGTTCATCCAAAGCATTATTTGCTTTGAAAGATATTTTAAAAGCTGAGAACAAACTATAAAATTGAATTTGTGTTGCTTTATACAGAGAAGATTCATAATTTGAAATGAAGGACAGTTCCACTCAGAAAGCATGAATTGTTATGTTAATTATATTGAACATTTAAAAATACACATTTTAATAGAAAATATACTTTTATTAATAATGCCAAATTATTGTAAAATGTCTGCAGAATTGAGCCATAGCATGTTTTCTCTAGTTCTGCAAAATCCCTCTTAAATTTTCTAGTTTAAAAGATAAAAAGCTGAAATGGAATAGACATTTCTTAGTTTGTTGTGGATTGTTAGTTTACAGATGTAGAAATATAAACTTAAATTTACTTATTGAATATCCATGGCTGAGATGAATAATAATTCTTGCTTGTCAGTGAAGCATGTAATTGTCTAAAATGCTTTTATTGACTGATTTAAACCTGGTTTTGTATTCATATTTGGCTGTGCCTTGTAATCTTTTCTCAGCATTCTTTGAGTCTTATGTGTTCTAAGGGAAATTATATTTTCAACGGATGTTTAGAAAATAAGCTATTGATTTTTTAAAAACTTTTTATTTGAATACAGCATTAAGGTTTGTATTTGGATAGAAATTCTCCAGCAGTAATTACGACCTAGAGTGATTTTCATTACAGACTTTAGGCTTCCCGAGGTGACCCCTGTAGTTGAAATCAAGGATAACCTGGCACTGGTGGCACCCAGCCTCTGTGAGCTGGTGACCTGATTCTCACCCTTTCTGTGCAGCTCCTCATTGCACTTCTGTGAGTCTTAAAACTTTTATGGAGCAAGACGAGGGTTGAGAAATGGGAAGAGCAGTTGGAAAAATGGAAGAGCACTGACTTACATGTTTTCTTACCCTATTTTCCTGTGCAAGAGGTGTAAGGTTAGCCAAGAGAAAGGAGAATAGACCCAAAGTCAGACAAGCAAACTTTATTAACCTGCCGAGCTGCCCCATAACAATCAGAGGAGGCAGCCCTGAGCTTACAAAATGAGGGGTTTCTATGGGGTGAGAGGGGCATAAGGGAGTTTCAGGACTGAGATAATCTGTAACAGGCACAGAGATAGTTTGTTAACTTGTGACAGACAGTACATTATCTTGTGACTTTTGTGGTGGCAGTTTTAAAAAACAGGATTTTACAGGTATGTGTAAAACAGGAATTTACAAGCATGGAAAACAAACATTTGTTTTCCTTGCCCTCCCCCGAGCTGCCCAGATGGCTGTAATCAGGCTTTGCTTAATTGTAGCACCTAAATAGGCGTTCAGGAATGCAGCTGCAAGAGAATCAGAGTTGGGGGCGGGGGCGGGGTTGTCAGCTTGTGTGGAGGGGGTTTTCTGAGACAGCTTGTCCCTAACATTCCAGCCCTTTAATAGTTAATAGAAGAGGGCACCGTTGTCATCTGGCTGCTTCTTGCTGGATAGGGGTGACATTTGCGGGGTTCTAGATCGTAGGGATTGTCATTCTTGCAGCTGTCAGTATTCTTGGAGCAGCATCACATCTTGTATTGTTCCATGGGTGAAAGATTTAATACGGTCCTGTAAGAACTGGAAGAGGAGTCGGAGAGGCAGGGGCAAATGCTAGAAGGAGGGAAAGGTCATCATTGCAGGACCTAGGAGGGGCAGTAGCCAGGTTGCCCAGGAGTTACGGAACTACTGAGGCCAGGAGAACTGACTCTTAAAGTTTTATGCTTGGTCTTTGAGTTTTTCTTGACCGCATTTTGTACTAATCCAGAGTCATTGAGGTAGAAACAGCATTGTTCATTTAAAAAGAGGCACAGACCTCCTTTTTCAGCAGTGAGGAAATTTAGGCCTTTGCAGTTTTGTAGGGTGACTGCTGCTAAAGAGTCTAGCTGGTTTTGGAGGTGAGTGATAGTGTGGAAAGAAAATAAGATCAAATAAGTAATAATAAAGTTTAAAATAATAAGCATAACAGGTAATAGCTAACTTTGAGTAAAGGTAATTTAGAAGTTATACATAGGCTAAGGAATTTAAACAGCTACTCTCAGCATAGCTAACAAGTTGCAGCTGCGAGCTCATCTCAACCCTCCAAGCTTATCACCTGCCTGCAGAGCCCCGCATACCTCTGTAATTCCTGTCTAGCAGCAAGGTTGACTGGTCAAAATAACTAAATTGTAAGTCCTCTCAGAATTGTCGGGAGTTAAATAACGCGACTTTGTCTGAAACCTGCATCCTGCCTTGTTTTCCTGCCTCAAACTGCATATAAGCAAAACTGCCTTCTTTGTAGGGGTGGGCAGCCATTTAAGGCGTGAGCCTGCTGCTGGCCTGGGCACCTGAAAAAGTTCTCTTTGGTCTCCATTGGTCTCTTTGTCTTCTTTGGCTGGAGTTTTACTGCAACAATAGAGTCTGCTATTTTTTCTAGTGACGATTGGAAGTCTTGGGAAAATGACTGGAAATATGATAATGAGGTTCCTAGGCTTCCTGCTTTTAACCCAACACTAGTTGTGACTTCAAGGGCTAATAAGGGAATGAACTGTATTGCTTTTTTTGAGCAAGCGTGTAATGTAGCAGGGACAGGGAGTTCTTGGTTTGGAGAGACAGGTTAATGTGGGGGGTCAGGTAGACTAGGGTGCAGGTACCTGTCCAGTTGGTAGGGAGACAGAAGTAGGTTGTGGATCCGCAGAGGAAGATGCCTGCAGTGTTAATGCAAACAGACAAGTGGATTGAGAATAGACGTTGGAATGACTCGGTTCACTTCAGTAACCCAGAGTGAGGAGGAGGGAGAGACCCCTTTGAGAGCTCCTGTTTGGGGAAGGGGTTTCCATGTTTGAGAGGCAGGAAGGGAGGTAATGCAGAGGGGGTGGGTAAAGAGGCCCTTAGCTTCAGGTGAAACTGAATAATCTCGGCGTGAGGTATGGGAAGAGGGATGAGAGATGGTTTGAGGTGAGCCACAGGCAGAGGGAGGGATGGTGCCTACATGTATGTGTCCGTTGGAAAAGGTGACACATAAGAGTGGGACCTTGGATAGCAGGATGAGGGAGTTTTGTGAGGTTGTAATTGGCAGTGTATGTGGAGAGAGGTTTGGTAGCTCCATTAGCGAGGGCAGTGAGGTAGTTCCCAGTGAGGGTGAGGGCTCTGTCTACAAAGGCAAAGCCTTTTTGGGTGGTGTAAGAAAAGCGAATGGGAATATGGTCCCCGGGCTGAGAAATTGGGTTAGCTGAGTAGGCAGTAAAGGGAAAAGCAGGTCCAGCAATGGGAAGCAAGTATAGAGTTGGAGCATAGTAACACGGAGTGAGTGAGATTGAGAGATTGTTAGAGCCGTGTAGAAGTGAGAAGGGACTTTGAGGGAGCAGAGGCAATGGGGCTGACCATTAAAAGAGTTAGGAACTTGAGGAAGAATTGGAGCCTGTATTTGGGGAAGGAGTTGAGCAGGGTTGTTTGTGGAGGTGGCCTCTTATAGCAGTGAAGCCTTTTCAGTAGGGGAATATTGGGGTTGGATTGTGGGGGTAATGAGGAGAGAGGTGGGGCAGAAGAAAGGGAAGCTTATTTTGCTGCCTCGTTGGCCTTTGTTTCCTCTTGAGATTTCATTTATACACTATTGGTGTCCTCAACAGTGTATAATCCCTGCTTTAGCCAGGAGGTGTGAAGCTCGGAGGAGTTGGTAAATAAGGGGCCATTAGTGGTGGGGGTTCCTTTGGCAGTAAGAAATCCTCTCCCTTGCCAGATGGCGTGAGAATGGAGAATGTGATAGGCATGTTTGAGTTGGTAGAAATGTTGACTGGTTTGCCTTTGGAGAGGATTAGGGCCCTGGTGGGAGCTGTAAGTTTTGCCTTCTGGGTGGAGGTCCCTGGAGGGAGGGGGTTGAGCTTTAATTACTCAGTTAAGGGAGATGACTGCATACCCAGTGATTTCATGGGAGTTGACTGACTTGAAAGAGCTGTATATAAATACGGTAACTGGTTGTCAGGATTGGGGAGAGGTTTAGGGGAGATATTAGGGCAACGAGGCTGTAGGTGATCCAGGATTTCAGTACAGGAGTGGGTGGGAGAGGAGGAAGATCCTGGAAGTAGAGATGCAGGATTGAGGGGCTCTTTTGCAGAGGCAGAACTCAAGGTTTTCAAGAAAGGGCATGGAGTGGTTGGGTACGAGAAGGAGAAAGTGTGCTTAGTGCTCTGGAGAGGAAATCTTGTAGAGTATGTGGGCTGTGGACTGTGGTGTCTTGACTGTTAGTTTCTTGCTTTCTAAGGCCAGGGTGGCAGCTGCTGCTAGGGCTTTGAGGCAGGTCGGCCACCTTTGGATGGTGTTGTCTGGTTGTTTAGATAGGTAAGCTACAGGAGTGAAGGAAGGAGGAATTCCCTTTTGTTATCCAGAGACACCAAGGGCTATTCCATGGTTTTCAGCTGTGTAGAGAATGAAGTGCTGAGAGGTGTCAGGCAAAGACAGAGCAGGAGTGGTAACAAGGGCAGCTTTAAGTTTGTGGAAGCCAGGGACTGTGCTGTGTGAAGGATTTCGGGGCTTATTTAGAGGGCCTTTAGCTGCTTCATAGAGGGTGTGGGCTAGGAGGGCAAAATTGGGAATTCATATTCTGAAAAAAACTTGCTAGTCCTAGGAAAGAAGGAATTTCACCTTTAGAGGTGGGTGGGAGCAGGCTGTCTATCAGTGCTGCTCGTGCTGGGGTTATGGCTTAGGCCCTGGGGGAGAGCTGGACTCCTAAGTACGTCACATTGGAGTGGAGAGTTGCGCTTTGGAGGGGGAAAGCCTGTATCCCTTTATTAGCGAGAAAATCCAGAAGGGTAATAGTGTGAGTCTGAATGTCCTCTAGGGAAGGGCTACAGAGGAGGAGGTTGTCCACATACTGGAGGAGCTGGCTATGGGAGATGTTTAGGGAGGTGAGGTCTTGAGTTAGAGCTTGTCCAAAGAAATTGGGGGAGGACTGTCCAAGTAAGTTATTGCGACTGGAGGGTTTCAGGGTCAGTCCAAGTGAAAGCAAAGAGATTTTGGGAGTCAGGATGAAGAGGAGTGGTTAAAAAAAAAAAGGCATCTTTTAGGTCTATTACAGTGTAATGGGCTGCATCTGGAGGGATGAGGGGACGTTCTATTACAGTGTAATGGGTTGCATCTGGAGGTATTAGGGGAAG